GGGAAACATAAAGATAAATGGGAAAACTTATGATCTTAACAAAGCCAGAGGGTATACAACAGTTTTCACAAATTGATAAAACTTGATTTTGTCTTTATGTTTTATACACAGTAAGTAAATTATAGATTCAAGGGAAAGGGAAATATGTATCATAGATCAAAGGTTATAGTATATTTCTAAGAGTTTGCTTATTCGATATCCTAATTTTATACATGCAACAGCTGAAGTCCCAAGCTACAGAGTTATTTGCAGTGTTAGGACCATGGTCTTCTGACTTTTTTTCTAGAGCTCTTCTTCCTGCCACACTATCTCATATCAAATGAGGCTTTATGAGAAAGTGCCTTGTAACCTGACAAACATAAAATTAAGTATAATCCTTTTGCTTATCTAAGCCATATATGTTTTAAAATGCAAAATAATGACACAGATAGTATCAGTAAATATTGTTATGTACACTAAGTGATAAGAATCAATCTTTCAAATGTATGTATAATCATGAAAGAGAATCAATAGAAAGAATTATGCTTTTATTTAAAGAAATTCTTTGTTAAAAATATCTACTACACTGGCAAGAATGTGAAAGTGGATTATAATGCTTGTGGGAGTGTAAATGTGAATACCTTTAGAGAGAACAATTTGGCAACAACTGTTAAAGTTGAAGTAGTGCAGCCCTAGCCAAATAGCTCATTCAGACTGTCATCCCAATACACCAAAGTTGTGGGTTTGATCTCCAGTCAAAGCATATGCTAGAATCAACCAATCAATGTTTCTCTCTCTCTGTGTGTCTAGCTCTCCCTTTCTCTGTTTAATTAATTAATTTTAAAGTTCAACATGTGCATAGCCCACAACTCCACAATTTCACTTCTAGGTTTATTCACCAGAGAAGCTCTCCCACATTGGCACAAGAAAACATGAAGTCTATTACAGCACTGTTTGTAACAACAAAAATTTGAGAACAACCTAAATGTCTGTTGATGTGGTAAAGAATTATCAAAGTGGATACTCATACACTGAAATAGTTGAACAATTAAAAATTAATAAATTAGATATACGTGAATCAACCAACCTAAATAAATCTTGAAAATATAATGTGAAAATAATTACAAAAAGATAGCACAGTTTTAAACCATTTCAAAATACAAAACTGTAGTTTTTAAAACACAAAAATTAATACATGTATACAAATATAATTGAAAAAACTCACAGCAATGCTACACACCAATAGAAGATAATGGTTACCTCTGGCAGAGGGTGAGTGGAAAGGAGATTCATGTTAGACATACCATTAATGCTTTACAGCTACAGCTTTGCTTTTTTAAATTGAGCCATGAATCAAATGTAGCAAAACATAGACCTTATTATTGGTCCACAGCTGTCTCTCATTATTTTCTGCTCTTTCTAGTTGAACTACATTCTAATTCGCTAATTTATTATACAATAGAAATGTTACCAAATTGACTTCAGAATAGAAAAACCATTTTTCAAAAAGTCAGAAATATTCACTACATGTATTTATATATAATTATATTTATATATAATTAAACAGGATGTTTTGGTACTAAGTATGATTCCAGTTGTCAGGTATTCAAAGTACATTGATCCAAAGCATATAAGCTTTGAAATAGGACTGCCTTGATGCCTGGCTCTAGTATCTGTAGGCTGTGTGGCCTTAGATAAGTCACTTAATGTTCTCTGAGCCTCAGTATCATCTCTGAAACAAGGATCACAATAACAGCACCTACCTTGTAGAGGTGTTATGATGATTAAATTAACTAATAAGTGGGAAATAACCTGGGACATCATGTTTGAAGAATGTTAGATATTATAATGTCATGTCAAAAATAGTACTAGCAACTCTTCAAAATTTATACTGAATTACCCTATTTATATGTCAACACTGGTCAAATGCATCAAATAATTACCCATTTTTTTAATTCTCTCCTTTGAGAATTAACCAATGAACTAAGAGTTTCCAGTTCTGAGAGTTTTTATGGAACAGTTTAATTTGTTACTATATTTAAATATAGTTCATCCCTATCAAAAAATTAGGGTGGGCAGATTTTAGTTAATTTAGTATTTGAGATTGTGCATTCTTTTCTTTCTCTTTTCTCACTTTTTAAAAAGTCTTCAATACAATTTTCATCAGAAATGACAATGTCGATTTACCACTCTAAGCATTTATACAGGTCGTTAAAGCAGGTTTAGCAGTGGGGTGTTTTTCTTTTTTTTTTTTCCTAGAGAGATTGGAATCTAATTGTTTCCTTTCTAGACAAATATGCTTTTGGATTGCCAGCGAAGAAAGGGGCATACAGATGTCAAAAGCATTGTAGTGCAGTGGGATTATGTACTGAGGTCTAGGGCAGGACAGACAAACAAGCCAAGGCTCAGATCGGTCAAACAGTTACCTCGTAATAAAATCTCAGATGACCAATTTTGTTTTATCTGTGCCAATGCCTATGAAAAGTTCAAATGAAGTTTTGTTGTGTTAACTACTTACATTTCTCTTTTTCTTATTTTAACCATTTGTAAAAATAAAGGAATTCACTTGATAAAATTGGAAAAGTGTTTAAAGGCAAGCCAACTTAAAAGAAAACAATACATACTACAGACATTGCTTTCTTCCTATTGAAGCACCATTAATTGGGCCTTAATTAGAGGGTATAATTATGGTATGTGACAGAACTGATACTTAAATAATTTAGGACATGGGAGTAATGATTTTTCATACTGTGCTTCATTGATAGATATGAAAGCAAAAAATTTAGAATTTTTTCTTAATTTTTAAACCTCATTAAGGAAAACTATCTTGACTATTTCCATGTGGCAATAAAATCACAAACTACATAATTGCTATTTTGAGTACCCGGAGAATTACTTACAAGCACTCCACTTATAATTTATTTACTTTATAGGAATTTTCCGTTATCAAGATCTTTGGGTGCCTTTATAATATACTGTGATTTTGTTCAAAATTGCAGCATCTACAATACAGGATTTACAATTTCAAGCAGAGGTAGCAAACTGACAGCTCTGGGCAGATCCAGACCACAGATGGGTTTTGTTTTGCCTGCATAATGTTGCTTTTTTCCCCTTTTTATTGAGTTAGTTACCAACAGTTAAGAATTACGTGAATTTCACAGAAAAATCTGGTTTCCTGGCTTCTCTTAAAAAGTCAAATCTTAACAATACTGGGCCTGCATTCCCACATGGTAGCAATCAGCTGAGCCGAATAAACGCTGCCGTCTTTGAAAAGAGTGTAAGTCACCAGAGTCCCCACCTCTCCCTATTGCTCTGGTTTCTCTGTAGTTTCTGTGAATTAGTTGGTACATATACTTCAAAAACATTTCCCAGTTTTCCTCAGGTTACAGTAAATGTAAAAACTCATCATATAATGTAACATGTGTTATGATTAATCAAGAAATGAATATATACAGTTATAAATGATTGCTATGCTTAACTAAAAGTGAAAAGTTGCCATTAATTTGCATGGCATTCCTCTCAGAAAATAAAAAGAAAGTGAAAATCCATTTTAATGCCTGATTTCAATGTCAGTCATATAAAATCAAAAGCACTTACTTTTAGTATCTCGAATCTAAAATGCAAAACTCAATCCATTTAAAGTCTTTCCATTAAAAAATCTTTCATTCATGAAACCTGCTGGGTCCCTGTCTGCTCAGCATCGAAGTCACAGACTAACAAAACAGTGTGGCACTTAAGGAGGCACATCCACTGGTTCAGGTCACTTGGGTATTATTCAGTGTGCATGAGATTAAAGAGTAATATTTAGTATAGACTAGATCCTGGAAACACCACCGTAGTGATTTCCATTTTCCATGTGGAAAACCCAGACTAATCATACAGAGTGGCCTCAATCTGCCCCACAGCCCACAGGAAGGGGAAAGGCCAAGGGTGATTTAACCTGAGGAGGGTATCTGGAAGAGAAGACAGAGCACTATGGCCAGGCAATATCAAAATGCACTTCGGCACCCTGGGGTGCTCTCCTTCTCTGCCTCTCTAAGGTACTGCCCAGCTTTGCCGCAAAACAGCCTCAAAGGTATAAGGTCTGAAGCAATGTGTTATCTCTGATTGCAATTTCACTGAAATAGTCATAGATATTTTAGGAAGTTTCAAGCGTAAATCTTGTTATTTAAATTTTTTTAAATTTAAAAAGTATTTTCAAATATTAAAATAGTATTTTCCAAATATGAAAAATATTAATATAAAAAAGCACTTTCACAAAAACAACTCCCAATATTTTAGAACCACTTATTAAACTATTAATACATGTTAAAATTAAATATTTAAAATATTTAATATTTATTAAAATATTTAAAAAGTATTTTCAGAAGAATGATCATTTCAAATCTTTTAGAACCACTAGCACATCTACAAAATATATCCATGCTTAATGCTTAGAACAACTGAAAGTTAGAACTGTGGGTTTTTGCAAATTAAAAAAAAAACCGTAGCACACTTAATAGCCTGTGCTGCCCTGCGAAAGTGAATGTACCTTCCTAAGCATTTCAGAGCCACGGGGTTGGTGAATTACTTTCCCATATTTTACATACATGTCAAGGTTTCTACATCAGTGACCTCACTCAACTCCCATCCCTGCTGCAGCCTTTCTCTAGCTTCTGCTGTAATTTCCAGAGAAAGGATTGCTTTCTCTGGCCGGAACTCATCTCCCCAGTGGTTCTGGGAGCTACTCCCAGTGAATAGATAGGAGTGGTCACTAAATGGCAAGAGTGAATTCATGGAGACCCCAATTAACTACAGCCCTGAAATAGGTACACAGGTTCGAATTAGCTATTTGGATTTTCTATTGTATTCTTAACTAACAAGTAAGCTTCAACACTTGCTGCTGAAATTTTTAAATGGCTCTACTTTCCTACCTTAGTAAGCAAAGTACAGGTAACCAAACTATGGCAGTTGGGCTCAGTCTGTACAGGATCCAGGACATTCCCAGGAAGTTGATTTTTAAAAAATAAATACATAAATACCTGTTAACAGCTTGTTTTCTTGTCATTTGCCTCTTCCTTCTAAAAGGAGAGTGTAGCAAAAAATAAATAAATAAAACTGGTTAATTGAGAGTTCTGGTTAGTTAGCTTCCAATTAATCAAGGCTTTATTATATTTCACAAAAAAACCTTCTTAAATTTTTCAGAAATTTTAGATAGGTTACACACAATGAAACAGCAGCAGGGAAGAGCACAAAGGAGGTAGGAAAGCCTGAATTGCTACTCGACAGTATTTTAAAAATATAGATAATGTTGTATTCTGGTCTAATCCACACTGAATAAGGAATAATGTGAAATGTCATGTGATTTAGGGCTTTTCTATATATGAAGGCAAGAAAATAAGGTTATAGATTTCTGTGGAAGGAAATGGCCTCGGGTCGTAACAATTCCAGAAAAAAATCAGCAATATTATGTCTTTTCCCTTGCTCTCAAGAGCCTTCTTCCCATCCCATTAGGTATTCCAATACTTTTTAGAGAAACCCCCTCCCAGTTTTTCTTGCCTTTTTTTTTGGCCAACAGGATGATGAAAGTAAGCCAATCTGAATGTAATGCCTTAATTTCCTAAACATGGAGCCATTAATCACTCAGCTTACACTACACTGATTTTCCGTAGAAATACTGAACTATCTTTCATCTTTCCCCAAAGGGTTACCCATGCACACATGCACACACACACATTCACACACACATACAGTCACACATGCATTTTTGTTGATAAAAGAAATCAACAAAAAAACATAATTAGCTTAGTAAATGAAACAACCATTCTGTCAAGTAGTATATTTCCCAGCATTACCAAGCCCTTTAATTAAGAACAATGAAATCTAAACTACTATGTTTAAAAAAACTACAAGGAGCCTTAGTACATTTATTAGTATGGAAACAGGAACCTCCCTATAATGCCCAGTACAAATATCATCACACTTTTATAATCTTTGGTTCTAATAGCCTTTTTGTGGAAAGTCTCCTTTCAGGTTTTTTTTTGTTGTTGTTTGTTTGTTTGTTTGTTTCTTTTTGAAAGGCAATGGCTTCCCTGCTTAAAGGTTTGTAGAAAGATTTCTAAACAAACCACAAATACAAACATATATTTAGGGCTGCTGAGGAAAGGAGGTGGGAGCTGAGTCTTTATTTCCCCTACTTGACTGACAGAACTATTTGATTTTGCTTTATACAATAGTTCACTCTCCCAACCTGTTTTGAAATGACACTTTCTTTTTTAAAAATATTTTATTTATTTAATTTTAGAGAGAGGAGAAGGGAGGAAGACAGAAAGGGAGAGAAACATCAATGTGTACTTGCCTCTCACTCGCCCCCCACTGGAGACCTGGCCTACAACCCAGGCATGTGCCCTGACTGGGAATCAAACCAGCAACCCTTTGGTTTGCAGGCTGGTGCTCAATCCATTGAGTTACACCAGCCAGGGCTGTGAAATGACACTTTCTTAAAGCAGAATATACTCACACATACCAAGTCAATGCTTGTTCATTCTTTCCTTTTTAAAAAAAAGTTATTTTATTTTAAATTGATGTTCAAGTATAGTTTTCTGCCTTTTACCCCCATCTGAGCCCATACCCCCAGCCCTCCCCACCCCTCTCCCATTTCCACCACATCCTTGTTATTGTCCATGTGTCCTTTATACTTGTTTCTGCAAACCCTTCCCCTTTTCTCCTGAAATTCTCTCCCCTCTCCCCTCTGGTCATTGTCAACCTGTTCTTACTTTCTTCATTACAGAGCCATTGGATTGAAGTATTTAAGTCTTTGGAAGATAAATTTAAAATTCACTATCAAATCTCACATAGTATGTCCTCCCTTGGATGTGAAGGTAACTAAATAGAGTGCTACTTTTGCTAATTCTTCACAAAGGGGAAATTACCTAAAACAGAGCATTTTAAAGATACCATCAACCTTTGATATGATATAGTCCAATATATTGCCAACTGAACACTAAAGAACTTCAGTAAAGTGCTGGTGGGTGGTAGAAGAAATGATAAGACGGAGCCATTCTTTTGTGTGCATACCAAATATATTGTTTGGTCTGGCCAGAGCTTCGAAAATATAAAAATTTTACATAAAATCTGAATTTGTAGGAGGTTCTGTAACAAAAAAGGAATGTCTGAAAACACTGGTCCCACATAGTCAACTGGCTCAGTAGAAATAGATCAAGTAGAGAGAGAAGCAATGTCTTCCCATAGATGGAGTATGTACTCTTCTATCTCCCATAGATCCCATCATTTACTATGATCTTACACCTAAATCTATAAGTGAATTTATGTAATCTTGGTTCCAGTAGGAATTAGAATTGTTTGGTCATTATTTTAATGTTATTTACTCAGACTTTAATCAATTGGCCAAAATACAATGTGAACGAAAAGTGCTAGATTGTTTATCTCCATGAAAAGTCATATGCACTGTTTTTAATGAAGAAAACCAAGCTTTTGACTCTTGAGGTCAATACCATTTTACTGTTCTTTCACATAAAGAAAAGCATCTAAAGCTAATCATATTAGATGAAAATAGATTCAATAAAAATAAACTCTGGTTACACTCAGAGAAACATTGTCATTCAATCAGAGTAGGAACGATAAATTTAAAATTCCAAATGGCCAATAAAATGTTTCCTATGCTTTGATATACATAAACATTGTGAAATACTTGTACGCCTAAAATATCTATAATTTTTATTTGTCTATTATACCTCCTAAAGGTAAAAATAATGTTTCCCATGTTTTGAAATTAAAATCAACTGTTAACCTGGCACACCACCATATTTCAGGTTCATTTGGGCTTTAGTTGTTCCTTAGACAAGATTTTTTGATCATATAATGTTTCTCAGGCCCAATACAATAAACAAAGTGTTGATCTGGGAACAAATTCATTAATATAGAAGACACAAATCAAGCAAATCGAGCAGTACCCTGCCCTCCCCCCAACTTCACCTGTAGAGGATGAATGGCTAGTATCCATGTGTTACTTTTTTAGGTTCTCTTTGGAGTTTTTTTTCCATCATTCGAATAGTTGTTTTTCTACTGTTGGAGCTTTCAGGGAGTTTTCCCTACTCTTAACTAATAACTTCATTCATCTTATGCCCCCCCTTGCTCCATAGCAGCTGTTATAAAGTTATTTAATCTTGTTAGGAATGCTGAAAATTATTTGACAAACCCAGTATGTTAAAGGAAACTGAAAATCTCTTTTATTATAAAACAGTAAAAATAAAAGCCAGAATATTTTAGGCCTCTTTAAGTTCAGAGGGCATCTGAACAGACTATTGATCACTCGTCTCCAAAAGGTCCATCAAGGAACATGTAGAAAAGACATATGGACAAAGCGAAAGGGTGTAGATTTGAGGGTGGGAGGCGGGGATGGGTGGGGGGGCATGGTGTGGTGAAAATGGAGATATCTTACTTAACAACAATAAAAAATAAATTTAAAAAACCAAAAGCATGATCTTCTGATTCAAGGCCCGAACAATTAAAATTATCATTTTGTTTCTTTTGGAAATTTATTTTCTCCTAGAATTATTTGGAAATCTAAAAAAAAAAAAAAAATGGATCACCTTAAATATCTGCTGCTTCTTTAAGATTTTGGTACATAAACTTAATTCTTTTAAAAGTCAGATAGATTTAAAGTCAGAGTCCAGAGAAAAACAAAAAGAAAAATTAAATATGGCATAGGGTGATAGCAAAGATAAATGAGCCAATGGCAATTAAACTTGTTTGGAAAAAACAGGTTCCAGATTATACATATATATTTAACATAGGCTGCCAATATAACTTAAAGAATGCAAGACTCTACACCAGCTCTCTCTGACAAATGATCCTTTATATTAACTCTGGTCTGTCCACTATAGGGACCCTCCGTGGGTTCAATGCTATTATTCCTCATATGTCCTAGAATAACAAAGAATCTCTGAGATAGGAGTATGGTTCACAGAGTCAAATGCATTTTTTCAAGGCAACAATCATAAGAAAGTAGAATACTGGTAACTTGTTCTTATAATACAATAATCATTTCAGTATACACAGTATGAATATACATCCCATCAAGGATGAGGCCAACTAAATAAATACCTTTAATCATACTATCAATGTATCCCAAATATTTTTTCATTAATATTGTCCCACACATTCAAAGTTGATAAATATTAGGCACATAAACAAACTCTGATGATTAAGATAACCTACCTGAAATCATTTCGATTTCTTAAAGTTTTAAATATCACAATCTCACAAAAGCTTCATAAAAGTTAAAGCAGTTAATGCCATGGGCAGCTTTGGCCACACAATATTTGTGTTGGGGATGTTTCTCCTTAACAGTCTTTCTACCCATGTTTGTAGGTTTGGCCAAAGACACCATGAGTCACCCTTTTAATCTTATGCTTTGGCCTATGTAGAGGGGGCAGTCTAGCCAGGTTTTTATGTGGAATTTTTTAAAAACACTTATTATACTCGTTATATTTCAAGTCTTCCCATTGATGATCATGTCTTGCTGATGTATGTTCAGAATGACTCCCAGAAAACACTAAGAAAATGTGGCATGTGAAATAAAACACTAAAGCCCTTTAGACACTGGACACAATCACTGTTTTACCAGCTTTTAGAGTTGATAGCTTTGGGTTTGATGGCTTCATATCACACTCAAATGATAGTGAATGGCCTAGTTCCAAACTAGTACACTGCCTAAGTAGAGACCTTAGTATCAGCCTCCGATTCTGAGTGGCTGATTGAAACACTGTTTACTTCACATCATTTATAACAATGTATGCAGATTTTCTCTATTTCCGTATTGTAGGTCCACCTCCCCTCCAAAAATGCAATCTCAACAAAAGAATAGGTTGAGGTGTCGCGTTCACTGCTGCACTACAAAACCTAAGAAACATGGCACAGAGTAGGTGCTTAATTTACATAAGGACAGTGTCTTGCAGCCAGTCAAGGCCGGGCATGTTCACATGGGATTCAGGCAGATGGTAGAAAATTCACAGAGATGCCAGGATGCCTGATGTACCTTTATTCTGGGATGGGGAGG